TTGAATAAATAAATAATACCGGGTCAGTACGAACAGATATTCGTAAATCTAAATCCGTTGTAATAGTTAGCAAAAATAATAACGTGCGTACTGTGCAATAAATTGTTTCATTCTCTTGCTTTGCCGGTAATGCTTTCATTGAAAGCATGTGTTTAATCGAATTGTTTGCACACATTCAAAAAAGCTCCAGTTTTGACTGTGGTTGCTAATTCGGAGGGATTAATTCGTATATTGACTACGAAGGAGGGATAAATTACAAAAGGACGGATTTGGTGCTAAATCTGTGGCAGCTGCTGATTAAAACAAAAAAAAAATATATATATATATATTTTAAAGGATTGGAGATTTGCAGGCGATTTGGCTGTTAACGGCAATTAAATGCAATGAGGAACATTTTTTTTCTAAATCGTGGCTGGGATTTCAAAATTTGCTGCTATTTTTTGGGGAACAGTTTGTTGTTAATTTAATTTTTACCACCAGTAGTACCGGTACGACTCTAACACTTCTCAAGAAAATTAAAGTTTAGGTTGGTTGAAAATTTCAAAGGGGTTGTACAAGAAAAGTGGAGGATTTAAGTTGATTACTACAAAAATTTACCATTTTAGACATGTTTTAAGTTTCTTGCTGCCGAAAAAAGTGTACATATATTAAGAAAAAAAGGCAAAATGTAGCCCCGCCCACCCACCCTATCGCAATTGTGATGATTTTTTTATTCGTCGTGAGCCGAGGGGCGCAAAATCTTTAGAAATTAAAACCATGTTTTTTCTATTGTGTTGTTCGAAGAATACTGTGGTGACCAAATTTTAATTAAAATCGTTAAACATAGGCAATCATGTGCACGTTCAGTTCTTTTCTGGTAGTTGGTAGCTCTCCTAGGGAGTTAGATTAAGTTTAGTTGGTTTGATAGTTAAAAAAAACGGGGAAGGCTTTATTTACCGACAATTAATCGGACCGACTGTGACGCCACAGTTTCCCCAACACGCGTAGCTAATTCTTACATTCTTGGGGTTTTTCCAAGCGGAAATATGCGAATTTTTGGACCGACGCTAACACGTGGTGTCAATTTGTTTTGTTGTTTGTAAATTTACAGATCATGTTAGGATTTTAATAGTTAACTAGTTCTAATACAATTTAAGAGTCATGAGACTGTTCAGATAAAGTACTTGCTAGGAAATTTCATGAGATTCATTTAGTCAGGACTCATCCTTTGTTTATCAAAGTATAAATAAGGTTTCTGGATGCTTATAGTTAAGTGTTACATTATAAGTACTATAACACTTCTTAATGCTTCGCACAAGATTGCTAATAATTCATTTACAACAGTTAAATCAACTTAACATTGTCCCATTCTCGCCATGTTGGAAAGTACACCACCGAGAAGCATTTCTCGCGACGCTGAATGTATTTTGTGTTTATTTATCTTGTGTTTGTTTGAGATAAGCTGGGACAGTCCACGTCATAAATTCTCAAAGCTAATTATTTTAAATAAGCAATCACTTGGATAAAGGCATAATTTAACGTCAGGTAAATTATTTGTTCGAATCTTTGATAAAGTGTGGCATAATTTAATATCACGTAAATTCTTTGTTTGAATCGTTGATAAAGTCTGGCAAATACTGCAATATTTTCACCATACAATTTTTCTTTATCTCGTAATTTTAACCTCAGTAATTTTCTTTGTTCTGTAATTTAAATTGAACGTAAATTTTCGTGCTTTGCAGTTCCTAACCTCACGTAATATTTTTGTCTGCACAAGTTTTGTCTCACACCAGATCTTTTTTGTTTTTATAAATCTGCTAATTCTTTTTTATGCAAATATTTTGTTGATTAATGTTTCCATCATATAAATTATCTGATGTCCAATCTTAATCTCACATAAGAATTCTTTGTTGTTTATTGCTCTTTTTACAACTTTAACACTTCGATTGTAGTTGATATCAGAGTTATATAAATTGAACACTTAAAGTGGAATTGAGGTAAATAACACAGAAACACGTGGCAGAAGTGGAGAGTGCGGTCCCTAGTTGAGCTGGCGGCATTTATTGCGCCATCTGCACAGAAGACGCAGACCTAGAATAAAAGTCAGGGGAGCGGTCGGGATGACGCGACGCTATCAACTTATATATAGCCGTAATTTCCAACCACAAGTTTGCGACCGTTTTTGAATTTTTCCCGGGCTTTAATTTTTTTTTCACATGTTAATTTAAGGCGGGATGTTTGGGTTATCACACTGCTAAATATATATTAAAAAAAATAAACCCAAAGATTAGGCCCTACCCATATCCGCCCCGATCTCAATTTTCAATTGTGATGAACTTTTCATTCGTTATCCAAAATCCATATTTGTCTAGAAGAATTTACCATTTTAAATATGTTTTAAGTTTCTTATTCTGAAAAGACGACTAAGTATATTAAGAAAAAGGCAAAATATAAGTCTCGCCCACCCGTCCTATCTCAATTGTAATGATTTTTTTTAATCGTCGAAAGTCAAAGGGGCGGAATTTAATTGCAAGATTCTTATTATTTCTCTATAAGAAATTACCACGTAGGGCATGCTTTTGAGTATCGTCTTATTCAAAGAACACTATGTACATTAAGAAAAAATTAAAACCAAGGATTAAGCCCCACCCATATTTGCCCCCCTATCTAAATAGTACTGAAGTTTTGATTCGTTGGTAGACCTAGAGGCGGAGCCTAATTGCAAAATCCATATTTTCTTACAAAAATGTACCGTTTTATGTGTATTTTAGGTTTCTAAGAATAAAAAAGATCATCACAATTGAGATGGGGTGGGTGGGCGGGGTCTGTTTTTCTTAATGTACGTAGTATTCTTTGAACAACACGATACTCAAACTTAAAAGCATGGTTTTAATTTCTTGAAAAGAAATAAGTATTTTGCAGTTAAGCTCCACCCCTTAGGTTCAAGGCGAATAAAAAAAATCATCACAACTGAGACCGGGCGGGTGGGCGGGCTTACATTTTTCCTTTGTGTTTTAATATGTGTGGACATCGTTTCACAACATGAAACTTAAAATATGTTTAAAATGGAAAATTTGTATAAGGAAATGTCGATTTTGCAATTTGGCTCCGCCCCATAATTGCAGAATAAATATTTCCTTGCAAAAATGTATCATCTTAACCATTTTTTAAGTTTATTGTTGTGAAAAGATGGCTATGTATATTAAGAAAAACAAGGCAATATATAAGCCCCGCCCGCCCACCCTATCTCAATTCTGGTCATTTTTTTATTCGTCGTAAGCCGAGGAGAGGAGCTTAATTGTAAAATCTTTATTTTTCTACGAGAAATTATCATATAAAGAAAACTAAATGTACTAATTAAAATAGAAAACCAAAAGAGAAGTGTTATTTTCTCAAATAAGCTTTCAATTGAAGGGTATACTTACTAATCGTCAACATGTGTTTTACTGTCAGTAGGTCGACTTTAGCTAATCTAACCTGTATCTCGCATTTGATAGCTGATTCCTTAGACAAAAGAGGCCAGTTGGATATTATTTAGTAGGATTTCTTCAGAGGCTTTGACAGTTAGACAGGTTAGTCATCAAATTCTACTTAAAAACTATCTAATATTGGCTTTTCGAACACCTTGATTGACTTCTTTGATTCTTATTTACAAGATCGTAGTAATTTTGTTATAAAAATAGCTATAAATCTGACTTCCATCCTACAGAGTCTGGGATTCCTCAAGGGTTTGCAATCCGCTATTGTTTGAAATATATATTAATGCGAGTGCTGATGTCAGGGTCTTGTTCGTCGCGTTCTAAAATTTGTTCTTCAGCTTGCAGTATTCTTTCGGTCCTACCACGGCTAAGATCCTGAGTTTGAGGCTTGAAGGTACCATGATCTCGGAGATGCTGTACCACTGATGTAAATGTTCGCGTACACGGAATTGCGCTATTTGGAACGCGCTCGACGGAGTTTCCATCAGCCACACCATAAAGCTTTATCATGTTGACGTTAACCGAATACACGACGGTAACCAACTGATACATAACTGGCCCTTATCATGATTCTGCACGTTGCTTATCAGTGTGATGCTTGTTTGGTTCTTAATCCTAGTCGTTCTGTGCCATTATTCATTGATTAGTAGTTTTGGTAAGTCAAGAAACACTACCAATTTATACTGAAATCTACCACTCAGGAACGTGAACCTACACAGTGCAATAAATTTTATTGTCAGCTATTCCCCATTTTTTTTATTGCACACATTTCGAAATCAACCTGTATAGTGCCTGATCAAAAATTTTCGCACAGTTACTTAGAATGGAAGTAGGACTGTAATTCGCTAGTAAAAATGGATTGCCCATTTCTGAAAATAGGACTGATTCTTGTAATTTTTCAAAGGTCCGGGAAAGTAGTTGTTTTAAGTGGATTATGATGGACAGAAGTTTGGCACGTGCATATCTACAGTCACGCACTAAAAAGCTTTTTATTATTTATTTTTCACAATATTTCTTAATCGCTTGACTTCAATATAAAATCAATCATCGTTAAATTTAAGCCATTTACGCCTACAATGGTCTTTTGTTTTAATATTAATAGTAATCACAACACCTGACAAAGTTTGAAGTTGAGTTGAACACCTGATGGTCAGGCTAGTTTTGGTAATAGTTACATAATTAATGGGCACTTAATGGAACTTCCAGTTTATTTAAGGACGGCGTTTAAAAAAACCATTTTGTAAATATTTCGTGTTTCGGCCTACAATGTAAAAAACGCACGCGTTATACGAAAATCAACCGACTGATTAAAAAATAAGTGTGACTTTGGGACCAATTAATTACGAGGAAATCTCCCGTCCGCAGCTACAACCGAACATAAAAAACAGCCGCCAATTTCACAACTCTCCAGTCGCTAGCCAGTAATTAAGCTCTCTTGCGGCCATAAATTTCCAGCCACCTGTTAAGTGCGTCCTTAACAAACGCGTATGTTCCAAAACACAATGAGCCGGATCGATTCATCAAGATTCCACGTTACTGTACCTTCTTGTCCGTTTCCTAGAGGAATCGGCTCGCCTCCTTCCCGCCTCCAGGCTATTGTCGGTTCCGGGGATCCGGTGGCGGCACATCGTAAACTCACGTTTGATCCTTCTCGTACTACCATATCAGTGCTCGTCGGATAGTCCAAGATGTCTGGCGGAACTGGAAGCATAAAATGGACGTAATTATGACCTGAGAGAATCGTAAACCCGCTGACCTGAACATTTTTACGGGGAAAATAGTCGTACGATTTCGACTGGATATTCGGAGGAGGGTTATTACATTGTAGCATGAACGACGGGAAAGGATGATGATGTATCACTTTCGCATTTGTCTTGGTGATGAATTGCTGATATACAGGGTGGGAGCGAACGATATGAAAAATCTGAAGAGTGCTCGTGTTGAGATAATTGTTGTTGTTAGATTTTAATAGCTAAAAGTGATCAGTTTTATTTAGACTTCTTTATTGGTGTTGAAAATGTTCAGCTTTGAACGGCGTGAAATAAATCATAAATTAATATATTTTATTAGTTAAAAAAACAGTTCATCAATATAAAGAAAGACTTAAATTCCGGAAGGATCTGTATCCGTTATAGCGTAGCAAGAAAATAATCAAGTCACTAATTGCATATCTAGTTCCGAATTAACAAGAATAAAAATTATAATCAACAGAATGTTAACTGGCTTTGCGGATATTCCAATAGATTACTGATAACATTATAAAAACATTAATGAACTGAAAAACAAAACTTAAAATTGAAGAAGAAACTAGCTGGGAACAGAGCTAATAAAAACTAACAAACGACTCAAGCAAAAGGCAAACTAAATCGAAAGGCTCAAAGGATTTAAAAAATAATTCCGTTTGAAGTCTGGTCTGCAGGCGTCGATATCTAAATAAAAATTTGAAACTTAAGTTAAAGAAGCTGGCAGTAGAACAATATAAGAACAAATTCTAAGTTGATACTAGGCAAAGATCAATATTGGGAAGAAAGGTAAAAATCAGGTGAACAGCAACAAATTTTAAATTTCAGACATTTTTATCGTACATACACATCTAGTAAGTGTAAATTATGGAAAGCGGGGTCCAGTAGTCCCGGAGATTATCTGCCTAGTAAAAATCGACACAGAGGACGGACACTAGATAGTCGACGGATAGACGAGACAGACAGGCAACAGACAGACGATCCATAGTCCCACAGATTGCAGACAGATAGGTGACAGACAGACGGAAACGGGAGACCTAATTTTCGTACTCTAGGTGAAATGTAGAGAAAACATAAACATAACCCTTTGTTAGATGAACCCTATTACAATGCTTCCTTAGTTTACGTAAAAAAGAAAGAAAAAATCATTTAATATCGGAGCCAGGAAAACTAGAGGGAAAAAAAATATGTAATCGCACAAAAATGTAAAAATAGAGGAATAGTAACAAAAAAAGTTAATGTCAAAGCTTAATCGAAAAATTTACTTAACTAATTAGCATTAAGCAAAGACAAAGACAGAAAAATACAAACGAAAAAGATTAAAACATCAAAAAGAAAAAAGAAAACGAAACAAAAATAGGAATGTTAATTTTTGGAGATTAAGACCCGGTTTATAGAAGCTCAATTAAATATTTGATTGCGATTACATTTTTAACACGGGATTAAAGTACCATGTGACCGACTCTATGCCAATCAGGCGTTGATGCATATGTCGTTAAATGCGTAATTAACTTAATATTGTAAAAACTGGCCCCAAGTGTAATAGCTTTTAAAGGTTATTTTATTAGGAAAAATCTTATTATTACTATTGATGTTATATGCATATGTATTAAATGTATTTGGGAACAACCACGCAATAAATAAACAATGTGACAAGAAACCAGATGAAAATGAAACATACAAGAACAAAATTCGTATTTGGGAAAACTGTCACATTAAAAAAGAAAGAGAATAAATTTTCAGGTTATCTCGATTAATTGATAATATAATAGACTGCAAATGTAAACTGCAAATACCAATGAAAGAAATACAAAAGATAGAAGAACACATGGAATAAAGAAAAAATCGATTCAAGAAAATTTGCAATAAAAAGTGGATTTCTATGAAACGAAGAAGAAGTTGGTCTGGTAGTTAGAAAAAGAGGGGAAGCCTTTGTTTAACCAAAAATTAATCTTACCGATTACGACGCCACAGTTTCCCAAACAACCGTAGCTAATTATTACTGTTTTTCTAAATCGAAAATATGCGAATTTTTAGCCGACGCCAACACGTGGTTTAAATTTGATCGATTGTTTGTAAATTCACGGTTCATGTTGGGATTTTAATCGTTACTGGTTCTGACACAATTTAACAGTCATGAAATTGTTTAGATAAAGCACTTGGTGGGAGATCTAATGAAATTTACTTAGTCAGGACTCATGTTTATCAAGTTATAAACAAGGTTTGTGGATGCTTATACTTCAGTGTTACATTATAACACTTCTCAATTCCTCACACAAAATTGCTAATAGTTCATTTACGGCAGTTAAAGTAACCTAACGTTGAATCACTTTGGGAAAAAGAGCGTGCAAAGTGCGGTAGAATTCATAATACCGTGGACCGGGGGTGGGGGGAATTTTTTTTTTTTTCTTAGGCAGTTATCAATGTTATCATCATATTATCATCACCACATCATCGACACATTGTTCTCGCAACGTAGAAAACTATATCATCAAGACGCATATTTCTCGCAACGAAGGATGCATTTTGTATTTATTTATCCTGTGTTTTATTTGGGATAAGCTGGGAACAGTCCACGGTACAAACTCTGAAAGCTAGCTAATTCTTTTAAGTAACCAATCACTTTGATAATGACATAGTTTCACATCATGTAAATTCATTGTTTGAATCGTTGGTAAAGCGTCTCAAATAATAGTTGAACTCATGTAATTGTGTTAGCTTTGGAAATTTTCATCTCATGCAATTTTTTTCTAGCTCACAATTTTGGCCTCAGTAATTTTCTTTGCTATATAATTTAAATTGAACCTAAATATTCATACTCTGTAGTTTCTAACCTCACGTAATTTTTTTGTCTGCACAAGTTTTACTTCACACCCGATCTTTTCTATTTGTATAAATCTTTGCTAGATTTTTTTCCATGTATATATTTTGTTGATTAATGCTTCCATCATATAAATTGTCTGATGTCCAATCTTAATCTTTGCTATTTAAAACGCTCTTTATTGGTCTTTTTGAAACTTTAACACTTGTTCGGTTGTAGATAATATCAGAGTTGTAGAAATTGAACACGTAAATAGAATTGGGGTAAATAACACAGGAACACGTGGCGGAAGCGGAGTGCGCGGTTCCTAGTCGAGCTGGGGTTGCGCCATTGGCACGAAAGAAATCCAGGGTAGCGGTCGGGATGACGTGACGGTGTCAGCTTATCTATGGCAGTGATTTCCAACCACGAGTTTACGACCATAACCGCACGTTTCTTCGTTATATAGAAGGGTGCTGGGCGGCATGTGCTTGCCGATAGAGTAGAATCACCGTCGTGCTGGGAGAACAGCCACAACCAGGAGCCCCAAACTCAGCTACAACGCCCCCTATGGGTAATTTTAAGTTTAGATGGTTTGGTATTTAAATAAAAAGGGAGACTCTTGGTTTAACGAAAATTAATCTTAATGACGACAACGCCACAGTTTCCCAACATGCGAATTTTCGACCGATGCTAACACGTGCTGCAAATTTGTTTTATTGTTTGTAAATTCACAGTTCATGTTAAGATTCTAATCGTTAACTGGTTCTGATACAATTTAAGGGTCCTGAGATTGTTTAGATACAGCATTTGCTAGGACATTTCATGAAATTCACTTAGTCAGGACCCATCCATTGTTTATCAAATTATAAATAAGGTTTCTGGATGTTTATATTGAAGTGTTACATTATAATATTTCTTAATTGCTTACACAAGATTTCTAATAGTTCATTTACGGCAGTTAAATCAATTTAACATTGTCCTACTCTAGAAAAAGGACCGTGAAAATATGGTAGAATTCATAATATCGTGGACTGAGGTACGGGAAGGATTAAAAATTCACATTACCGAGACATATTTTCTCCCAACGTGGAAAGTTACATCACCGAGACGCATATTTATTGCAACGCCGGATGCATTTTGTGTTTATTTATCATGTGTTTTGTTTGGGATAAGCTGGGGACAGTGCACGATATAAACTCTCAAAGCTAATGATTTTAAGTAACCAATCACTTGGATCGAGGCATAACTTCACATCACGTAAATGCTTTGTTTGTATCGCTGATAAAGTGCGGCATAATTTAACATAATGTAAATTCTTTGTTTGAATTGTTGATAAAGTGTGGCAAATATGAAACTCATGTTATTTTGTTGGCTTTACATATTTCCACCTCACACAATTGTTCTATCTCACAATTTTAGCCTCACTAATTTTCTTTTTTGTATAATTTAAATTGAACGTAAATTTTCATGCACTGCACCTAACCTCACGTATTTTTTTTTGTCTGCACAAGTTTTATTTTTATACATCTTTGGTAGTAATTTTCATGCAAATATTTTGTTGATTAATGCTTCCATGAATAAATTGCTACTGTCCAATCTTAATCTCAGATGAGAATTCTTTGCTGTTTAAAAAAAATCACGACTGTATGGCGAATTTAGATGTTGTTCATTGTTTTTTTTAACTTTAACAGTGTCAGTTGTTGTTTAATATCTGAGTTATAGAAACTGAGCATTTAAATGGAATTGAGATAAATAACACAAAAACGTGGCACAAACGGAGTGCTCGGTTCCTTGTCGAGCTGGCGGTCGCGCCATCTGCACAAAAGACGCAGACTTAGAATAGAAGTCAGGAATATGACGTGACGCTGTCGTGCGATACGTTTCTTGGTAATAGAGGCGTGATGGGTGGCATGTGCTTGCCGATAGAGTAAAATCACCTCCGTGGTGGGAGAACAGCCACAACCAGGCGCCCCAAACTCCGCTCGTGCTACAACGCCCTCTATTTTGCTCTCCTCTAGAATGAAATTGATATAGTTCGATCGCCACACTTTTATAGCCCTCTGGTGTCGCTGTGCTGCATAGAGTTTTTTTTATTAAAATTTTGTTTTCTTGGTGACTGCTATAATTTTAATTTGCCGCCACACGTCCGTAATAAC